AGATTTCTTGCTTCTGCCACCAATTCCCCCTGCTGTGAGCCTTTCAACCTTCTAAGTATTCCTTTATATGTGGTTCAGAGTTCTGGGACCATCCCCTGAACCTGCTTGGTCAAGTATTCTGTGTTGTTGTTGGCGGAGCTCTCTGCTATACATCTACCCGATCCGCCATCTTGTTTGTTTTCAGGCTGAAATCTTTTTGATAGCAGATCATCAGTTCTTCTCTCCCACAGAATTGCAGGTGGGTTCAACCCACCAACCATTCGGTTAGCAATTACACAGTTAACCATATCTTTTTGTGTTTATCTATCTATCGCTACCAACCCAGGTCTTGCTTGGTGCAGGTGAAAGCAAACACAGAGACTAGATTAATGTGAAAGAAGAAGGCTTTGCTCCCATTGGCCAAGTGGGGTGCAAGTCGAGACTAAGTCACTGAGACAAGCTCCCTGATTATAGGATGGGCTGCTTATTTACACAAGATCAGGAAGTAAATGAGGGAAATAATGAATATGTAAGAGAGTCTTTGAGAAATGATCATGAACATACATAGGGGTGGAGTTTGAATTCTGGTACGGAAATAGCCATTGGACCTCTCGCTTCTAAATGTGGTACCAGTTGTTCAGATGACATCTTTCTGGGAAATTCTTATTCCTTGACCAAACATTTTGCGGTCAGAGCTGACTTTACTACACATACATAGCGGGCTAAATCTGGTTAAAACTAAGTACTTAACAGTCTTTGTCTTCTCTGGAATCTGCTGAGGAGGGGATACTTTTTGGGAAAGACAGGTTAAAACTGAGTAGAGAGCAGAAAGAATAAGTTAATCATAAACTAAAAATGTACCATATTGTTTTCACATTTGTTAACCACAGTTGTTAAGGGGAGGGAGTAGGGCCTGTTAAATAAGTGATAAATTTTATAAACTTCTAAAGGACTAAGAAGCTGATAAGTTAATTATAAACTATAAATGGAGCTTATTGTTTTAACATTCTGTTGAGATGGTTGTCAGAACAAGGGAGTAGCTAGTGGAGAGTAAGTAATACATTTTATAACATTCTAAAATACTATGCAAGCCTAAAGAGTTTCACTGTATCTGTATGTATATGTTTCTGTAGCAAACTGTCTGGTTAGTGAATCCTGACTAAGACACAATCTTAGGAGCTTTTTGGCCTTATGAAGTGATCCCCTGTACCATCTTCTGAGAGAGAGAAAAAAGTACTATGGCCAGGACCCCACAATTGCACTACTTGAAAAGAAAATGACTCTTTCTAGACAAAAGACCCAGATAAGTTCATCTTGGGTTTTCCATGCACCTTAGACCAAATGCTGTTGTCATAGGAAGTTAATTATAAGATGACATGAAATTGATTCAGCTGACATTGGGTATATTGTTCCTAGAGGGGAAAGGGGGAAGAATCTAATCAAAGATCAATAGATGTTGAAAAGTTTTGGAAATAGATGGTGATAATGGGTATACAACACTGTAAATTAATGCCTTTAATACTTGTTAAAATAGCACATTTTATTATTCCACTACAATGAAATAAAAATATCAATAGATGTTATTTTAGATTGTTTACAATTTTAATGATTATTACACTGTTTCAGAGAGCATCCTTAGCATCTCAATATATACATACATATTGTTGTTAAGTGCCGTCAATTCCGACCCACAGCGACCCTGTATAGGGTTTCCGAGGAGCAGCTGGTGAGCTTGAACCACCGACCTTGCAGTTCAAATGGCTTTGCAGTCTGATGCATTAGCCCACAGC